AAAGTTAGGTTTATGGTCTTTAGAAAGTAGGTAGGCGTCTTTTAGATGAGTTGTACATATATATATATATATATATATATATATATATATATATATAATGTGTGTTTGTGAAAAGTGTATATAAATAAATATATATATGTATAATTATTTATATATTATATATATATACTTATTAGAAATACTCAATATCAGAGATAGAGCTAACATATTTGGTTGGATAGATGTGAGTTTGTGACCCTGGGTTTCATGCTTTAGCGATCGTCAGACAAACTGATTAATGTTTTAAAAAATTTGGGTTTATGTAGATTTGTATTGGTGTTATTGTGGAAGTGGTGGGGAAATTTCGTCGTTTTGTCATTCATCGTACTAACGCAAACATCGATATATGCAGACACATATACATACTTGGTCGTCCGTCGAGACTCATACATATATAAAACGATAGAGCTATGACATGTATGTATACAGAGTTGGCATAGGAAATGACCAGCAACCAACAAACAGCTTGAACCAATGTCAGCATTGACCAGCACAGAGTTAGCCATATGGTTAAAAAATGTCATCCTAAGACCCTTAGGACTGGACCATGAAATGTGCTTACATCACTGGGTGCAGGAAGCGGCAAAAAGGTGTTATAGGCCAATATACATCCAAACCAAATATAGTGATATATGGTGGCAACTAATCTCATAAGATAACCTACACAAATCCTCCTTAGGGCCAACTACCCTCCCTCTCATATATATATATATATATATATATATATATATATATATATATATATATATATATATATATATATATATATTTGGTTGGATAGATGCGAAGTTTGTGACCTGGGTTTCACGCTTTTAGCGATCATCAGACAAACTGATTAATGTTTTAAAAAATTTGGGTTTATGTAGATTGCGTGTATTGGTGTTATTGTGGAAGTGGTGGGGGAAATTTCGTCGTTTTGTCATTCATTGTACTAACGCAAACATCGATATATGCAGACACATATACATACTTGGTCGTCCGTTGGGACTCATACATATATAAATGTATGTGGGAAGTTTCGGCTATGACACATGTATGTATACGGGTGGTGTTATGTCTATACATATGCATTTGTATGTTGAAATTTAAACATTGGAAGTGTGGCGGAAATGTCTCGTTAATGTATCCATGTCATATTATGTATTTTTTTTTTTTTTTTTTTGCTGAAAAATATTTCCTCGCATGTATGTATATACGTGTGGTGGGGTTTGTGTAAAATTATGATAGGTAAAAATTATTATTATTATTATTATTTATATTTATTTTTAAATTTTTGAAAAAAATGGGGGTTTATTTGTTATATTTAAAGCTGGTTATTTGTTTGTTTTTGGTGACTGTGTATATGTAACAGGTAAAAATTTGTAATCCTTATTGTTTAATTTATATGGTGATGTTTAATATACTGGGTGAGAGGGTGGTTCAATTTAATAACGGGTCTATATGATATGATGTGATAATGTTTCAAGGGATTGGAGACAATGCTATTTAGCTAATAGTTATTGTAAATTGGAAGAAATTGCAAATTGGTAGAAATGATTAGTAACGGTGGTGGGAGAATGATAAAACCATGAATGTAGTTATAGTGGTGGTAGCTTGAACTAAAAAGTGGTTGTTGGTGTTTTATTTTATTTTTGTTTTATTTTGTTATATGTATTAATTTATTTTGGTATAAATCCTGATAATAGGTATTCTGTGTAAAATTATGGTAGTTGAAGATTGCTATAATTTTTAATTACAAAATTATTATTGTTATTATATTAAAGCTGCTTGGTAATAGGTGTTTGTTCTCATGGTTACATATGGAAATTATTATATCTGATCATATTGTTTTAAGGTATTAAATATGCTGGGGGAGTAATAAAGATTGTAGTGGATTATATGTTAATAGTGGGTGTGATGTGTAAGTGATGGTGCTGTGTGTTGGTGGTAATGATAATATTGATAGTTAATAGATATTGTAAAGTGGTAAAAGTGATTACTAATGGTGGTGCAATTATAATAATGATAGGTGCAATTATTTTGATGGTATATTGAAATTAAATTGTGATTGTTGGTGGTTTGTCTGTTTTATCCATTAGGTATGAATTCGGATAATACCGAAAAAAAAAAAAAAAAAGTGTGTGTATATATATATATATATATATATATATAATATGACATGGATACATTCACAAGACATTAACGAGACATTTCCTTCACACTTCCAATGTTTAAATTTCAACATTTCAACATACAAATGCGTATGTATAGACATAACACCACCCGTACCCGTATACATACATGTGTCATAGCTAAAACTGCCCACATACGTTTATATATGTATGAGTCTCGACGGACGACCAAGTATGTATATGTGTCTGCATATATCGATGTTTTGCGTTAGTACGATGAATGACAAAGCGACAAAATTTCCCCACCACTTCCACAATAACACCAATACATGCAATCTACATAAACCCAAATTTTTTAAAACATTAATCAGTTTGTCTGATGATCGCTAAAAGCGTGAAACCCAGGGTCACAAACTCGCATCTATCCAACCAAATATATATATATATATATATATATATATATATATATATATATATATATGAGAGGGAGGGTAGTTGGCCCTAAGGAGGATTTGTGTAGGTTATCTTATGAGATTAGTTGCCACCATATATCACTATATTTGGTTTGGATGTATATTGGCCTATAACACCTCTTGCCGCTTCCTGCACCCAGTGATGTAAGCACATTTCATGGTCCAGTCCTAAGGGTCTTAGGATGACATTTTTTAACCATATGGCTAACTCTGTGCTGGTCAATGCTGACATTGGTTCAAGCTGTTTGTTGGTTGCTGGTCATTTCGGTCTATGCCAACTCTGCCCATATGTTCTTGATCTCTGAGTAGTAGAAGATCAAATGTCATAGTAATTGCAATGCCAGTGCCAGTTCAAGCCATGGTGAGTGCTATATTAAGGAAGAAATATCTTCACAACAAAAAAATAAAACAAAAGCTTCATGGGGTTAATCTTCAATTGGTTTATATGGTCTCAGTACAACAAAAATTAACCCTTCCTGCATCAATTTCTATGATGACACTGTGCCTCACCTAATAATTTAGGTTCAAAGTTCTTCAGGATCAGGAAATCTGGTGGTAGCTGATGTGGATTCCAGACGCACTTGATACAGGGGTTCTCAACCCAAGTCCTTGAGCTCCCAAAGCCATCTGCTTATATACACTTTGGCCCAAAACTGGCGTGAGGCCGAAGGATTCTTGGGATTTGTTGATTCTTTAATTTTCACATTAATTCTAATAAGAGTTCTTTGTTCCTTATTTCTGCTTTCTTAATCAACTTTCCAAATTCGGAGAATCTTCTTGGGAATATTTCAAAATTTGGAGAAACCTTCTTGGGAATATTTACAGGGATTGCTCCTCCCCTAACTCCAACTTGCTTCACTTCATGTTTCGCACTACCTCTCTACACAGACAAATCCTCCCTCTTCTCCCTCTCAAGCTGACCCAACTGTCATTGTGACAAATTTAATTTTCAAATCATGCAGGTGAAAGGGCATAGTTTATTCTAATCAATAATTTTAATTCTCCTGCCTCTTCAAGGCAGAGATAAAATTATCTCCCTGTTCCCAGACCTACCCACGTCCAGGGAAAGTACAAACCAGATCACCCTCTTGGCAATTATACAGTCTGTTTTCATAACTTCAACCCTCACAACAGGTTCACTCCTTGTTTTCATTTTCATCAACAAAAATATATTTGTTTGCTTAAATTCTCAAGGAAGAGATAAAATTGTTCTCCATCCCTGGGCTAATTGCAGTCTTAGTGAAAACACAAACCAGATCACCTGCTTGTCACCACAGGATTGATTTTCATAACTTTGATCCTCACAGTGGGTTAGTTTCTTGTTTTCATTTCCTAATTCATTTTCATCAACAAAAAATATATTTGTTTGCCTAGATTCTCAAAGAAGAGATAAAATTGTTCTCCAAATCTGTTTTTGTTCACATGGCAGACTCTCAATAGATAAGAAAAATAAACTTTGAGAGAAGAAATCCAGACTGTCCTATTTTCATCAATTTGAGCTTAACCCATTTCTGATCAGCATCAACATTTTAACCACTTCATGGACTCAGTGTCACAGACCTTGTGTAATGATTAGAAAAGAATGCACAAAGTGTTGAAAAATAAATCTTTATATAACACAATATAATAATACAGAAGGATAAGGTGAAAGCTGAAGGTTCAAGAGTTCAAATGTAGAAGTCTTGGTGCATACAAGAGAATACAAGAAAGAGTTTGGGAGAAAGTAAATATATATATATATATATATATATATATATATAAAATCCAAATATAGTAGCTGCCTGCTTAACAATTTGGGTAAAGGAAGGTATGTATGTTTTCAAATGTAGCAGGAATGTAGAAATTTCAGGTCAACAGCTGGTTTCATATTGGCTCTGGGTATGTTATGTATTACCGCAGCATCAGAGAATGGACAGAATTTATTTATTGATTCTGGTTTTGATATATTTTCCATCCAGTTATATACATCTTTAATGTTCCACTTCGAAAGTTGCTTTGATTTTCATTGGCTCACGATTCCTGGCCTTATATCCTGGTTTGCAGAATTTCTTGTTTCTGATTGGCTCACTAGGATGTTCATTTCCTGGTTAAAGCAGCTTCTGATTGGTTGGTTATAATATGACTTCATGACCTAGTGATTCTGAATATAATCTATTTTTAGAGATTGTGAAATTATGGTCTTATTATTTGTTTATATTTATTTATTTTTCTTTGAAATTCTCTCTCTCTCTCCTCCCCTTCTCCAAAATTTGAAGTTTTGGTATTTTTTGTCTTACTTTATTCATGTCAGATATCTATAAATGCATTTTTATATGTTTGTGGGAGGGTGGGGAAATATGTTTTGCATATCATTTAATCTACTCTCTCTTTGTTTCAGAGTCGACAATTGCACCGTCGAGCAGTAGATGAACGTTTATCCAATAATAGTTCTGGACAGTCATTCCTTACCAAACAACGACAAGTTCACAGTCGGAGGGTATGATTCTTGCAGTCTCTCTCCAACTTCAACTCCTGTCGGTCCCGTGGTGCTAGTCTTTCTCTTGCTTCTACCCTTTCTGGGTCTCTTTAAGCTGCTGGCATCAGTATGACAAATTTGTTTAAAAAAAAAAAAAATTCATTCTCTCACTCACTCACTCACTCACTCACACTTTTGTTACCTTCATTATTGCTACTATAATAATTATCATTGTTCTTTCTTAAAACAAACATTTGCATTATAGGCATTATAATTATTGGTATCTGTAGCACTTACATCTGTTTTTATGTTTCTGATCTCTATTTCTGGTCACAGAAAAATGATCAGTTTTAAGAAACAGCTTCCAAATTTTAGCCTCCATATTCTTTTAACAAAATTTACCAGATATCAGTTTTTCAGAAAAATCATGAACATTTTTAAAAATAAATGGAATGTAATTATTTTTCTGAGAAATTAATGGAGAAATCTGAATTTCTCTTCCTAAAAATTTTATCCATTGTAGATAAACGTGTGTGTGTGTGTGTGTGTGGCACATATATAAATACACACACACAGATATATATATATATATATATATATATATACACACTTGAATAAAAAAAAAAAAAAAAAAAAAAAAAAGAAACTTGTCTGCTTCACTAAGTGATATTTTTAAAACTTAATTTTTTTTTTTTTTTTTTAATTTTTCCGGTGGGGTTCAGGATAAATGCACTCAGAAGTAGTAAGCATTTTAACCAGACAGTAAATGTATATAGCAACAGTATATAAGTTGTATAGAAGTGACTGGTTGTCGGTCATGTTTAAGAAATCCTTCTGTGAGTGTTTCATGAATAGGCACATCAAACCAAACATATTGTGGGTTACTTTTACACATGTATATAAATTTTTTATATATATATACACACACACACACACACACACACAAGTATGTTTAACTGTTACTACAATCATTATCAAGAATTACATATATATTAATCTGTTTCTGAAACTGTGTTTGGCTAGTTCTGACATTCTATTATTTGCTGGAACCAGTTTCAAGTCACTTAAACATGACATGATTTATGATGGTTAAAGTTTTAAGTTTGTTTCTTTTTTTTTTTTTTTTTTTTTTTTTTTTTTTATCCAAGCAATTTTGGGTGTTAATGAACTTTGGAAAGTTTGACCCTTACAAATGATGTCACCTTTAAGTGACTTGAAATTAGTTCCAGCAAACAAAAGAACATTGGAATTAGCCAAATAGTTTCATAAACAGAACAAAAAAATTTTTATATCTATGATATAAAGACATTTTTTTCTTCCTTCATCTTAAATATTTTTTGAAACTCCAATGATTGACAATATGGACTCTGTGTGCGTCTGTCTGTCTGTGTGTGTATATATATATATATATATATATATATATATATATATATATATATATACACACACACACACTTTTTTCTCTCTTTGTCTTTAATTTCTTAAGACCCCAGTGATTGACTATATGAACAGTGTGTGTGTGTGATATAATGATTTTTTTTCTCCCTTTGTACTTAATTTTTTTTTTTTTTTAAACATCAATGATTGACAATATGGACTGTATATATATATATATATATATATATATATATATATATATATATATATATATATGTAAAAATTGCAGCAACACCAGTTTGGCTTAAAATTAAACATATAAAGAATGTAAATACTCAGAAGCACTTTTCTTTGTACTTGAGGGGTCATTGAGTGCATGTCTACTTAATACCTAAAAAAAAATCAAATTAAATACATTAATTTTTTTTTTTATTTTTTATTTTTTTTATCTTTGTTGGGGTTTATATAAACATGATTTTACAAATATTTGTAATTTCAAATAAACAAAATCAAAGAAATATCTTTTCTTACCCCCATCTAATCCTCTCATCACAATTATAGAATACATTTTTTATTCAGCATGGCACTTGTTAGAGCAGCAGATTGATGGCTGAGAACTCCACGATCTAATCTCAAGTGCCAAGTTGGTAAAATCTATTGCTGCAAATCTACTTTACAAAGTAGCTAACAGTGGAACTAATTGTAGGTTTTGCTTGCTGCTATCAGCTGTGTATTGGCAGGTAATAGAAGTTGGTGATGCACCTTCTCACAATAGCATGTCACATCATATTAATAAAATTTGTAATACCATAATCATATAAGTGTACTGACATTATTAGCTGTAGCAATTTGGTATTTGACTTGACAATTACAAAAAGAGTGATGGCTGGGAAACAAGGTTCTATTCTAAATGTTGTGTCCATTGCACGAGATGCATCTGGATGAAAACAAACTCAAATTTGAAATGAAATCAGAAACTGCTTATTTTCCTAATGGTATAATATTTATAAAATCTGCTCTATTTTGATCTTTGTTTTCTGACCATCATCAGGTGCTATGGCTTGGGAACTGATGTTGTTGTAAATGGAAAAGTTTGTGGATTTGCCAGTCTGCTATGTTTCCTGATTTAGGATTGAAGAAAGCATTGATTAGAATATGGTACAAAGAACAATGATGAATTGAAATTATTAAATATATTATTTATTTTTAATTTGACAGCAATACTCATCCTAAGAGGAAATATTTTATTCGCTGAATCTAGTCTTCTGGTGGGCAGTGTTTGCATTTTCAAATTTGGTTTAAAGAGATAAAACATGCTGAGCAAGTGAAATTTATATTTGTTGTAAGGAAAAACATTAATTCATATTACTTTAAATGTTATATTTAGTGGATACGTGTTTGAGAAGATATACCTATTGTATTTTATTGTTTTGGTTTTTTGTTTTGTCTTTTGTTTTTTTTGCTTTGTCTTTTGTTTTTTGTTTTGTTTTTTTGTGGGTTTTTGTTTTAGCAGTGTAAATTTGTCAACCTGAGATTCTTAAAAAATCTGCCTTCCAACAAGGTTTAAACTGGTGTCCCCCACCCTTATTTTTCCTTTTTTTGATTGCTCAGCTATGGAAAGCTTTCAATCTAAAATACATCAGGTGGGATGGTAGTTCCCCTTACAAAGTGAGGCACAGGTTCAAACACTGCCAGAAGACTTTTTTTTTTTAATTAAGCCCCTTGATTGTAATAACTGATAGACAAAATTTTAAAATTAAACCACCTCCACAAAAAAAAAATTACTACTCAAATGTATGTATCCACTAAATATGTTTTAAGTAATATGGAAAAAATGTTGGGTTATATATGAAAAATCCATTAATTTCTTAAAAGCAAAACTAATCCATAAAAAATAACCTTTTAAGTCTATACCGCCGTGAAAAAGCAAAATATAAAAATGAAAGTCTAATCTTATTTTATTGTTATTCTTAGAGACTTTAAAATGTCTTTAGGCAGAATGATCTTTTATAATCTCTGGATATTTAACCATCTTGTTTCCCTTCTTAAATCATACAATTAATTTTGCTTTTTACAACAATAACTATTAAAAAATGTCACTATCATCTATGAATGAAATATTCTCAGATATATTTTTTCTCCTAAGAATAATGACTTCAAAACATTAAATGTTTCTTCAAAACTATATTTACAGAAGAATTTACATTGAAACAAAAATAATCTCTTTCCTATCATTTGATTAAAACCCCTTTCTATTGATGTGCTTATTTGGCTTCATATTTGAATATTAATAGAAAGACTAAATAACTTGTAAGTCATAGTGTATATAAACTCCATATTTGTAGAATTTTATTTAAAGAGCCCAGCACTATCAATCCTCAAAGTTTTAAAAATTTGAGGCAATTTTTTATTGTCATAGTTGAAAAAAAAAAAATGAAAGAAAAAATATCTCATTGTATAATGGAACAAAATTTAAGAGGTTTAGGGTAAAAAGAAATTTATTTAAAAATCAAATCAAAAAAATTTACTGAGTGTGATTAACAAAACGTTTGATTTTATTAAAATGCAAACAACTGACACAGTAACATTGAAGTCATCAAAGCCAGAATGAATTTATCATGAATCCCTCACTAAGAAAAGAATGAAACTAATTTTCAAGCTAGAATTGTCCCAGAAATAAATGGTAATGTGAAATTCTTATATTCTGAAGTAAATTTTGGTTATCCAGACCAAGAATCTTTGACCAGACTTCATCTTGCAAGGTTTGCTAGTTTTAAGTGTTTTTGATAATTTTTTTTTTGATTTTCAATCCCATTAAAATAAAAAAAAAAAATAATTGTCAATTTTATTTCAATACCACAATCATTTTTCCTGGGTGCAATAACAAATCAATATAGCTTATTAAAGAGATTTCTGTAGTTTGTTGTCTCTGATTTTAAAATATTATTTTAGGATCTGTTTCTCTGATGAAAAATATAAAAATCCCAGTGGAGAAACTTGATTTTTTTTTTTTTTTTTTTTTTTTTTTGCATCAGATTAAATCTTAAAATTGAATTTTCTAAAACTAAAAATAAAGAATAAGATTTAATTTTTGAAGCTTTTATAACAAACTTGATTTTATTTCCAACTATAAAGGTCAACAAATACTGTTTTTTATATATATATATATATATATATATATATATATATATAAAATTCTGCATTTGGGCAGCAATCCCTCTTCCATACAAGTTTCATTGAAGATGACAGGGTACTGTAATTAAGCTTTTTATTAAATTTTTTTTTTTTTTTTTTTTTTTTTTTTTTTTTTTTTTTTTTTTGAGGCATGGTTGAGTAATGGATAGCAGCTCGGATTGAGGAATCGGAGAGCCGAGTTCGAATTCCAGTCAAATCCATTACATTCACTTATGTGCTAATACCCTTGGGAAAGGTATGAATCCTCTTCTTCTCCCCCCAGCTATAGGTAAATAGCAGGATAGACCTGGTTCTATAGCTTTAGATGGCAACTGGTCTACTGCAGGAAAAAATGGCAACCTACTGCAGGAAAAAATCTGCATCGTCAGTCATGTATCAAAAGATACATGATTGCCTAAGCGTCTATCACTCATGGCACATAACTGACTGATTAAATTTTTCTTGCATTC